CCGTCCCGCCATGTCTGTTTTCATGCTGTTAACACCCAGCACCGTTGCCCAGGGCACCAAGCAGCAAGCCCAGGCCACAGGCTGGGCTCTGCTACTGCAGTGCCAGCAGGGGGCAGCGCAGGCACGCTGGGGAGGGTGCCAGCCACCCAGGTGATGGCACCACAACCCTGGCACAATGTGTTTGTCCCTCCAGACTCACCTAGGGCGAGTGTAGCTCCAACCCATGGTCCCCAGCAAGGGCTCTTATCCAGTCATATCAAAGTATGTAAATTAGCCCCTGGTAGCAGGCGCCCCCTGCAGTCCTGGGGCGTGGGAGGTGGCGGCGGGGCCCCGAACCTGACCTCTCCTTCCCCAGCAACCCCAGCGAGGAGGAAGAGGAGGAGCAGGGGAAGAAGGGGAAGAGGAAGAAGAAGCCGCAGCACGAGGGGAAAGGCAATTCGGGGTCCTCGTGGGAGGAGGGCAGCGTGTCGGAGAGCAGCTCCTCCGAGTCGGACTCGGGCTCCGAGGCAGAGGAATCCCAGTCGGAGCCGGAAAGCAAGAGGAGACCCACGGTGAGCTCCGGCCCCTCTGCACACCCTGCACCCCCGGAGTGGGCCTGGCTGGGCCCTGCGCTGCTGACCCTGCCCGGCGCTGCCTTCTCTTCCAGCCACCCAGCAGCAAAGCCGCCCCCAAGGCCACCCGGAAAGGGACCAAGGAGATCTCCTTGCTGGACCTGGATGACTGTGAGTGTCGCGCCCGCACAGCTGTGCCCCAGGGCTCAGCTCCTCCGCCTCATGGGGCAGGGAGAGTCAGGGAGACGCCCCTGGACACCTCCCCTCCACCTCCCCATCTCTCCTCCGCTTTGCTGCCTGTGTCCTCCCTGCTGGGGTCCGTGGCTTCCCTGCCCGGCTCTCACGGGGGTCAGTGGAGCGTTCGTCCCTGGGCGCTCCCCTGCAAAGCTCAGTTCTGGGGGGGGCAGATGGGGAAGGGGTGACCCCGCACACAACCTGCCCTATCCCCACCTCCCCCTGCCTGTGGCTGGCTCCTGCTCCCAGCTGGGGGCTGGGCTGTCCAGGAGGCCTATTCAGGGCCGGCTCCATCTCCATGTTCGGTGACCCTGCGAGCCCCTGGGGAGGCGAGCGGAAGTGACGTGGCTTTGGAGCTGGGTTCTTACCGCCTGGCTTGTGGCAGGCGGCGGCTCTCACAGGAAACCAACCCAGCCCGGTGAGCCCGCTCGATTGGGTGGCAGCCCCTGTCTCCTCCAGAGTCTGCCTGTCCCAACTTCCAGTGCAGCTCTGGGTAGATCCCGCTGACTGCTCCCAACTGCTCCCTCTGCACCTCAACGCACTTCCCGGGGAGGGCAGGCTCACCATCCCCTTTTACAGACAGAGAAACTGAGGCACGTGGCAGGGAAGGGACCTGCCCAAGGTCGCCCAGCAGGCCGGTGGCGGAGCTGGGAATACTCGGCCTTCCTGAGGCCACTGCCAGAGGTAACTGCGGCCTCCCTGCCCCGGCTCGTCCCTCCGTGTCACTGAACCCCTAGGCGCCTAGGGCCGATGTCCCGTCCACTGCCTGCTGATTGGTCCTTCCAGCTGCATGATCTGTCCATGGTGCTGAGGGAGCCTTGACGTGATGTGGCTGTAGAGACACGGGGAGCGTGTCCTTCCTCCAGGGCGGGCAAATGCGCACTGCTGGGGGCACCCCAAGGATTTGGGAAGTGGTCAAGGGCCGCACTTTCCCATATTAATGGAGAAGGTGTGGGGTCTAGGATGGAGGTTGGGCGCAGAAGGGAGCTTGCATTAAGGGACTGGAGTGCAGGAGAGGATGTGGGGTCTGGGAGAGAGTTTGGGTGAAGGAGGCAGTTGTGACCTGGCTTAGGGGACTAGGGTGGAGAAATTTGGGTTGTGACCTTGGGCAAGAGGGGGTTGTGACCTGTGGCAGGGGACTAGGGTGCAGGGGTTTGGTTGTGACCTGGGGTAGGGGATTGAGATGCAGGATCTGGGAGGGGATATGGGTGCAGGAGAGAGGGAAGAAGGTTTGGTAGGGTTGCCAGGTGTCTGGTATTGACCTGGACAGTCCGGTATTTTTGCCTCCTGTCCAGTACAAAAATTCAGAAAATAGCAGACACCTAAAATGTATGGTATTTTATGATTTTTTTCCCCTGCCAGGAGGCGAAAATACTGGACACCTGGCAACCCTACACATACTCAGCAACCGGGCCCAGCCCCAAGCCCCCCCCCCGGACCCTCCCAGCCCCCCCGGGGCGCCC